TGGACACTAGAGATAATGCAGCTTTAACACATGAAGCATCGGCTTCATTCGCCTGGTCCAAACATGACATTTTTAATGTGTTTATCTTTTAATGGTTGTTTACAGACCGTCTGATTTAAAAAAAAAAAAAAAATAAATAAATAAATAAATAAATAAAAATAAATAAAATACAAAACAAATATATATATATATAATTAATTTAAAAAAACAAAACAACAACAATATATCGGCCGGTAGTTTCCTTAAAAGAACCACAGAACCACAAAGTGTTCAACAAGGCTCAACTATGCTCATCTTAATGAGTCCGTCTGTCACCTTCCATTCAGATCTTCAGTCCCTTTTTTCCCCCCAAACAGCTGAGAGGGCACGCCCCCAAAAACAGAGCATGTCAGGTGACGACCAGCTCTGACTACATTCCTGCCTGGTGGCCCGGTTTCTTAGCCTGTAAAGATTCCTGAAAGGTTTCTCTGGGTCACTGAGCACCAGGCGAGGAGAGAAACTCTCTGACCTAGAAGTATGTGTGGCTGTGTCATAGGAACAGATAGATGAATCAATCCTTCCCCTTATTGTTTTTCACATTGCATTACTGTAAAATGCTCCATGAGAAAGATATGTGGCTGTAGTTTGTAGTGGTTATTATTGCAGAAGTCTGTCTCTCTGTTTCTCATCTCAACCACAATAATATATTGCAACATGAATCTCCAGTGTGTCCAAACGATAAGAAACCAGATCCTCCACCGTCTGTTCCCACAGACACAGAGAGAACGTTGGAATGTATTGAAACACTACAACTAACAATAGGCCTCATGTAACAAATAGTTTGTACGCATAAATGTGGTTAAACCGCGTGAACGAATGTTTTGCGCACAAATCAGAGATTCCTCAATATTGTCTTCGTTGAGTTTGTTGTTGGAACTGACCCAGAGCAAGTGGAATCAATGTAAACGCACCGTTTAAACTAAAAGCATCTCATACTAATAAAAACACATTCATAAGTAGAATAAAGAATTGGCCAAATGTGTCACATAACTATGAAACCGACGTCTTTTCATCCTCATCAATTATTGTCATAATTTAAAATATATTACATATTTATTCTACGAAGGTTTTTGAATGAAGCTTCGACTGTCTGGCATCATATTTTATGACGTCATCACCCTAAAAAAGGAGGAAAAGAAACAAACTTAAATGTAGTTGACGGTGCTGTTTAGCACGACAGTTTTTAAAAAGCTAAACGCCAACAAATGTGGATTGAAGCAGAATATTTTGTGAGATAAAAACATGCTGTGAATTTTGAAATCTATCTTTTCTTCGGTATAACCCAAATACAATTATGTAACGGGTGACCTTTTGTGTGAAAGTGCTTCCTGGATGTCGTCACTTCCACCATCTTTTCTTGGACGTATTATTACAGATGTTTGTCCAATGATTGCGGCGGGTCTCTCGTCTCGATCTGTTTCTATTTCACCTGAGAAGGAATCATTTCTACGCACATATTAGTGACTGAGGTCCCAACGTTACCAAGAGTGTGTCATCTTTGTCTAATTATATTTGTCTCTCTCTCTCTCTCTCCGTCAGACGGTGAAGCAAATGTGGCCGTTCATCTGCCAGTTCGTGGACAAGCTGTTCAGAGAGACCATCGAGCCGGCGGTGAAGGCCGCCAACCCTCACCTCAGCTCCTTCTGCTTCACCAAGATCGACATGGGCGACAAGGTGACGAGATGACGGCAGCGTAAATCCAGTGTCTCGCTCTGTTGTCGATCGATTGAGCATTTCAAAAAACACGTAGTTAGGTCAGCGGTTCTGTTTTGAGGTGTAACTATTTTATTTAATATGCTCGTATTTTTAGCTCCTTGTGAAATCTGTACGCCGAGGATGTTTGATGTGTTTTCTCTGTACTCTAGTAAATGAGATCTCAGTATCGATGTGACTGTCTGATGAGATGAAGAGTGTAGAATTGATTTATTAAACTAGCTTCAACTGAAACTAAGTTCTTCAAACGTAAACGAGTGCTATTACATCTCATGTTGCTGTTTTTAAAGCACTTTTTGAAGTCGCAACAATAAAAACAAATAAAGAATTATATACAAAATGGGCTTTAACATGCAGAGTAATAACACTGCTGACAGAGTGTAGGCGTGTAGATATTTTCTTGGCGTGTTTCTATTTTTACGAGCTGTTTTGCTGTCTTTCTTTCGTTGCTTTTGAACTACGCACTGAGCTGCTCACACGTCAGAGCAGAGCGTCACGTACTGGAGACAAACAGCAGATCTGAGAGATTTACTCACTTTTGTGATGTTCTGTGTTTCCACAGCCGTTGAGAGTGAACGGGGTGAAGGTTTACACGGAGAACGTGGACAAGAGGCAGGTCATCATGGACCTGCAGATCAGGTACACAGTCACAACTCCTTCGCTTTACGCCACACAGCTTGTGGTTTCTGAAGCACAAAGCTGGTGATCAGATGATCCACAAGCAGAAGTAGTGCAGATGGTCTAAAATGTACTGTTTTTTTCTGTTTTTGTAACATCTGTTAAAAACCCAGCTGTTTCAGGACTTTTATGAGCCTGTAAACCGTATATTTGCATCTTGGTTTTGGTCTAGAACAGCGTTTCCTTAAGGATAAAGGTGTTTCTGCTGTTCGCAGCACAACCCAGATCTCAAAGTCGAGGACAAAAACAAAACTTACAACATTTCACTTATTTGAATCTCATCGAAATAGAGAGTCGTGCATGTTTCAGCACGTAATCTTCATCAGGTCTGTTTTCTGCCGTTTGCTCGACAAAAGAAAAACGTAAATGTACGTTTTAGTTATTTATTTCTCGTTTCTCTTTCACATTCTTTCATAACGTTTATCATCTTATTGCATTTTTGTTTTCTTCTCTTTCAGTTATGTCGGGAACACGGAGATCGACGTGGACATCAAGAAATATTACTGCAGAGCTGGAATCAAAAGCATACAGGTCAGTTTTATGACAATAATAATAGCTTCAGTCGTAGTTTGATTTCTTCACACACTCCACCCCTCCATCTTTTTAAAGGTGCATAAAACACCTTCTCTTTCTGTGCAAACTAACTATTTCAGAAAAAGATCAAATGAAGCTATAAAGACCATACAAAATGAGTGTTGCAACTAATGATTATGTTCATTATCGATAATTTGTCAACGCTTTTTATTCATTTATTAATTAAAAGTTTTTAAGTTTGTCAATAAAATCCCAAATGACTTGATTTCTCCGACCAACAGTCCAAAACTCAAAGATATTAAATCAACAATGATATAAAAGGGACCAGCAGCAGATCCTTCAGATGCTGGAACCAGTGAACTCTTCCCTGATAAGTTATTTAAGTTACTCGATTATCAAAATAATACATTGTCTGGAAATCAGCTGAATTTCCTGAGGCGATAGAGAATAAAAAGAGAGACTTTCAGTCGGAGGGACGATGACATCGATAACGTCTATCTTCGACCGTGACCTCCGTATTAACCCGTGACCTGTACTGAGACACTTTTACATAATGTGTTGACTCGGCTCAGATAACGGAGACGTTGTCCACTCGGCTGCTGGCGCAGCATCGGGCCATGTTTGCTGTTCAGAGATCAGAGAAAGTGAGGGGAGGATTTACGGAGAGAGAGAGAGAGAGAAACGTCTGCGTGTTGAAGGCACAGTCAATATCTGCCTCTCGTGTGTTGGCTTTTAGATATTTATTTATTTTTATAGCCGTCTGTGTCGGCTTTTCATCGGCTGCTGAAGGAATAAGACGTTAGACTCGAGAGCTTATTCGGGAATGATGAGTCACATTCTGGGAAGAGAACTCAGTTTCTGAAAAGAGAGCTGCTGCTGCTTCTTCTTCTTCTGGTTAAATGCACAAATACTCAGCTGCACAGCATTTAGAAAGTATCCTCCTCTCTGTGGGCGGGGGGATAAACAGAATGTTATCTATTTCAAATCTTTCCACTGCACCCTTTCCGATGAGCAGAATCTTGGTGATTGATTCCTCAGAGTGAGCCAGGACCAAATTTGGTGGTGCAGACGTGCGGTCTGCACATCTGAGGTTTGAGTCACTGAGAGAGAAAACGCTCTCAGGAGGAAACATTCACTTGCTTTTTTTCAGAATTAGCCCTCATGTCTGTAATTTCTGTTAAACATGGAAAAAAAAAAAGCTGGAAAGTTTCTCATTAGTTGATAAGAGTCCCAGATTATTAAAGGCCAGATCAGCTCTCCTCATCACAAATGTTTAATAAAGTCAACCTTTCAGTCTGTGATCAGTGCAAGAAACCAAATGTCAAATGAACTGTTTGGCCTAGTTTTTCTTTTTTTATTTTTAAAGGGACGGTGTGTAATATTTAGTGGCATCTAGTGGTGTTTTACTGATTGCAACCAACTAAATACTCCTCAGCTCAGCTCCTCCCTTTCCAATCATTAAAAAAACAATAAAAATGAATGCAGAACAGAATTAGAGGTTATTTATAATTTAGATATTGCTAAATATTGTTCCTAGAGCAGCAACAGTTGTGTTTACAACAGCAAAGTTACAATATGAAGTCATTAATATCTCACTGGAAACAAATGGAAATTAAATAAATAACGTCCCTCCTGTCCTCTGTTTCCAAAAAGAGGCTGTATATAAAAGGCTTTTTCTGAGCAAAGGAAACCATAACAATTCTTAGTTTCGGGTGATTATACACTGATTTAAACATAGTTATGAATATTATATTCCCCCTAAATGTTCCACACTGTCCCTTTAAAGCACAAAGCCGATGTTTCCCAAACTGCCTTATAAAAAAGCATGTGAAGCTAAACGAGGACAAAGCATCAAACTAAAGAGAAGACGACATCGCTCCATTAATGTGTTCACAACAAACCACACAGTGTGATGACACGATGACCCCCGTGATCAGGTTCAATGGAAGAAAGACGACAATCATGAATATGTTTCCTCTGTGCAGCTCCACGGGACGGTGAGAGTGGTGATGGAGCCTCTGCTGGGGGACATGCCTCTGATCGGAGCGCTGTCCGTCTTCTTCCTCAAGAAACCGGTGAGTCCCTTTTGACCTTTGACCCCGTCCTCTGAACGTGACTTCCTCATGAGTGTCTCCTTTGAAATCCTCTAAAACTGTTACTAACTGTTCACCGGGAGCATTTCCCTCTGCGCTGATGTCTCAAGTTTTAAAACTACAGAATATTTTCAATCAATCAATCAAAACAAACAACAATTTACTGATTATGAAAATAATTCTAGTCGCAGCCGTAGTTTCTTCACAAACTCGTCCATCTTTTTAAAGGTGAATACCTGCTTTTTTTTTTGGAAACAATTTTTCAGTTTTGTAATAAATTATTTTAACAGAAGAAGATAAACATGGAGCTACAAAAATAATACAAAATGTAAGGCTGCGAGTAATGATTTCAATAAGCTGTTAGCTATTGTTTTTTCCTGGCCCACCCAGTGCCATGTTTGACGTTTTAAAAGACTTTGCAAACTGTGCAAAAACAATAATCCATCCATCCATTTTCCTCCGCTTATCCGGGGTCGGGTCGCGGTGGCAGCAGGCCAAGCAGGCTGACCTAGACTTCCCTCTCCCCCGCAACATGTTCCAGCTCATTCTGGGGGATCCCGAGGCGTTCCCAGGCCAGCTGGGAGATATAATCCCTCCAGCGTGTTCTGGGTCTTCCCCAGGGTCTCTTCCCAGTTGGACGTGCCTGGAAAACCTCCAGTGGGAGGCGTCCAGGAGGCATCCTAATTAAAAAAACAATAATATCTCATGTAATGCACTAAAATTATTGTAAAAAATTATTTTCCAGCGGCACAAAAGAAGATTTTTGTCTAGAGTTTGTTCTAATAATGTTGATAAAGTTCTACATTAACTTCCCATCACTTTGACATTGACATTGACATGATGCTGCTTGTATTGAGCTGATTATGAGTCTGCTGGTTCTGAACCGCCACCCCGGTCCTCCTCTATCAGTGCATTCCATCTCTCTGACTGCTGGCTTCCTTCCTCTTGCCTCCAGATTCAGGCTTTGATTCTGGGGCCCACTCAAAAAAAGACTCAATCCGAGATAGAGCGTAATTGTTCCTTCTGTAGAAATCTTATCGTCAGTCTGAATAAGAAGTTCTAGAAGACGGAGGCGCCAGTTACGACGGCAGCAAAGTTCAAACTTGTGTTTTTTTAATATGAGGTACTCTGTATCGCACATCCTCGCTCTAGTTGTATGTCGACTAAACTTAGTGAAATCATCTCTGTCTCAGTTTGTGACTGAGATAATCTGACGTTGGCGTTTTGCATCGTGATCGTTTAAGTTAGGCCAAGAGCAGAAAGGTTTTTGGCAATTTCTGCCTGTTAACTTGACTTATTTACACATAACATAACACCATGTAAGTGGGCACTTCAGCCTTGCACTGTATTTGGAGTTAAATAAAATGTATGAGCAGCAGATACAGAATCAACTTTTGTAAGAAATTCCCGTCATGTTAAATGTTAAGCTGTTATAATTAATCTTTTACGGTTTCTTGTATAGTAATAATGATGTTCTTGCAGTGGGTTTAATATATAATGTAAATAATATCTTTGGTTTGGCCCACAGTCAAAAACGTTTGTCCAACCCCTGAACTGAAGCGTTCGTTATGTCATCAGATGGCACACATGGTTGTCTGTACAGTTGAAAGCCCAGAAGGCCAACTGGCATTCCACATACCACGCTCAGGAATTTCACTCGTGAAATTCACTTCAACCGGCGACCCTCTGGTTCCTACACCAAGTCCGAATATTTGAGCTGACTGTTATACAGCCCCACGGCATGCTGGGTACAACTCGCTCTCCTGAACTCGCTTTAGTACATTCAATGACTGATAAAGAAAGAGAGACCAGAGATCTACGGGACAAATTCACTCGTTATGTTCTCCACAACCGTTCACACGATCGACTTCACAGTTGGCGGTTGTATTGCCGAGGACCCAAGGAAGCAGGTAGTCGAGTGTGAAGTTGTGTGAGTGAGCTGTTCTCCATAAAGCAGCAGTACTAGTGGACTAAAACGCCAGCCAAATTTGAACAAGTTTTTGAACTGCACTGCTGAGAAGAAACAGATATTCTACAGTTGTTTAGAATGTTGCATTTGCCTCAGACAGCTGGTAGCGTGGTTAGCTTTGTTAGCATCACAATATTTTAGACTGGAGCTACAATACACGTAGAGTAAGTCAGCACTTTGAAATACATCTTTACAATGGTTTCTAAGACGATCACAAACTTAACCAAAGAGCCTTCAGAGAACCTCAGGACTAAGCACACACACACACACACACACACACACACACACACACACACACACTGTGTGTGTTGCATTATGGGAAATGAATTTACTATTCATGCAAAAGTTGAAAGCATTGTTATGCGCCGTTTAGTGACAGTCGTCATTTTTTTATCGAGTAGTTCTGTGAAATGTTCTCCACCACACCGCCTTCATTCTCTTCCTGTGCCAGCCCGGCTGCACGGCATTGTGGTCCACCGTGGTCTAGTCTAGAGCGCTAACTTGGCCACAGAGAGAGAGACACACACACGCGAACGCGAATGTATACTGTGCATTTCATTTGTCCATGCAGACTGACACACAGACATGAGGATTGAAGATGAACCACACATCTCGGTTTACATAGTTTAGGTAACAGTTGATAAGAAAGCATGTGTTATAAAGTGGAAGTTAGAGAAACCTGGACTCCTACTAGGAAGGAAAGAGCTAATGTGAAGACACAATATTGAGTTGTTATCATGTAGGATCCAATGTTTGAGGATCTTGACCCGTATTTAGGATTAAAAATCCAAATATCTCATTCTAAGCTGCACAGATATTGACTGTTGTTTGTCTAATTTACCCCCAAACTTGTTTCTCCTGCTAAAGTGTTTGGTGTCTGCACAGACAACAGGGATACGTGTTCAAGAACAAGGTTATTTTGGGGACGTTAGCTAGCTCACTGAACAAAATTATGCTAAAGTGGACAATACCAGAGCAACAATAAAAATCAGCATAAAATGTAAGCACTGTTAATTTCTGCAAGGTTTGTCCTCAACCAAAGAAATTCAACAAACACGAGATGATTGAATCAAGTTTCTCCCCAAATATCTCCCCTAACCTTCTATCCATCCATCTATCTATCCTTCTATCCTTCCATCTATCCTTCTATCCATCCATCCATCTATCCATCTATCCTTCCATCTATCCTTCCATCTATCCTTCCATCTATCCTTCCATCCTTCCATCCTTCCATCCTTCTATCCATCCATCCATCTATCCTTCTATCCTTCCATCTATCCTTCTATCCTTCCATCCTTCCATCTATCCATCTATCCTTCTATCCATCCATCTATCCATCCATCCATCTATCCTTCTATCCTTCCATCCTTCTATCCATCCATCTATCCATCCATCCATCTATCCATCTATCCATCCTTCCTTCCATCCATCCATCCTTCTACTTTCATATATTACAGTACTACTACTCCTCCCTCTCCTCCTACTCGTCACTGCTTCCTGTATTGCTGCTACTGTTAGCAGCAGTGGTAACTGGTAATACAACCCTCTGAGTATGAGGGTGTGTCCGCTATGTGTGCTGTGATTCAGCCTTGCTTCATTACTGCACTGACAGTTTGGAGGTTCCTGGCTGGCGGAATGTTAAATATGTGACTTCCTCTCCATAGTGCGGCTCCTCAGGTAACCCAGTGTTATAATACTGAAGTGTGTAAGCCTCGTAACTGGGTTAGAACAGCAGGTTAAGCTCCTGCACTCTCAATATGAGAACGTGGGCAACGTGTTGCATCATCATGAAGCAAACTGATGATTTGCTCATCATGTCTGTTGCGATGCCAACTAATACATTATCGTGTGCAGCACCTCCTATAAAGGTTATCATTATGTCTCCTTGTAATGTTCCGTCTGCACTGAAAGGCTCAGCCAGAGTGTCTGAAAGGTCAGAGTCAGCAGTTTATCTTGAATAATTGAAATGGTGAAAGCTGTGCAGGAGTCTGGTGTTTATAGAGCTCATCACAGACTAATGCACGGGGTTGTGATGATCTGTCTGCGTTCTTCTTCTTCTAGCCATGCCACCGGGTTAGGGAGTGTGTAGTCGTGTGCACTAGCATCACACATAGACACACACACAATGGAGTCAAATACGGAAATATAAAAACGTTGAAAAAGGAGAACTAACAGATAATCCTCTCTAATTAATTCAATTTATTTGTGCGACAAGCCAATAGACTCCTCCTCCGATTGTAGTTGCAGCATTTTATTTCTGCAAACATCTTTAACTTTATCCACATTTACAATAAAGATACCAAATAAAAAGCTTCTGGATTGTTCACGCTCCATTATGTGCTCCTGAACACAACAACAAGCGTTTATTTACTGATTGCAGGTTTCAACACGTTATTAAGCCTCCATCACTGGAGCGCTGGTACGTTGTGAATGTTGGATTTGGACAGATGGATATCAATTGAATGTTTTTTAACTAAACTCTGTATTTGCCCGCAGTGGTTCACTGCAGATATTTAAGGTTTTAGGTTTCTCTCTTTGCTTTTATTGTGTTTTCGTTTTCTTGCTTTAGTTTTAACATAATTTGTCATTTAAAGCGAAAATATATTATTATTATGTCTGCGTATAAGGAGACATTTCAAAGGACTGATGTGTTTATTTTTCACATGTTAAATACTCTGTTTATTACATATCTTGCATACCTTGGTCTCAATTCTTTAGTAAGAATATGTAAAGTTACTACGAGAAGCCTTTTCATGTTTTTGGCGGCCCCTGTGGACATGAGTGGTAGTGTCTGTGAGCACCAGAGTCCCTTCAGAAAACCTCATCCTATAGCAGCAGGGTCTGACAGTCTGCTCGCTCCTCAAGTGTCTTTTTTTTGTTTAAGAGTTTTCTCTTAATGAAAAATAAATCCATCTCGCCACATTCGAAGTAATATTAAGGAAATCCTTTTTACTGCAGTTATTGCTGTTTTCTGTCCATCTCGCTTGTTTTTCATTAACTGTGGATTTCTTTGCATACCGTTGGATTCTGTCGTTGATGATGAGACGTTTTTTCACATTTGGGTTCCTCTGTTGACTTCCCTCCTGATCTGCTGAGGCCTCTAACAGCTGTTTATTTGTTAATGTTATGTCATTTCCACATACTTCCTGTTTGTACGAGGGCTAACCCAATCTGCCCGGCTCTGTTGATTATCGGCTCGATTGAATTAAGAGTCGGGCTCCCCGGCTCTGCTGACTCACGGCGACGTCAGCGAGGAGCTGATAATGTGGAGAAGTGTAGAAGAAGAAACGTCAGAGTTTAGTTTCAGAGATCGTTCCATAAAAATCAGATTAACTGCCAATGATTAGTTACTTTACTAATATATTTTTTATTAAAGAGAATTCTTCTCTTAATGCCAGAATATTACCCGAAGAAGAATCCTCCTTCAATCCATTAAAACGACTTTTCCCTCATAAAATATCATAGAAGCTATCGGGGAGAAATTTCTCTCATTTAATAGAAAGAAAATGCTCAGAACTCTCCACATCCCCGTCAAAATGACACGTTATCTGAGAACTTCTGTAAATCTTTCACACATCTTTATCAGAGACCATCACCTTTATGCAATGTTGCTGCATGATGTCTGTGTGTGGTGCAGCTGTTTGTCTCCTTAACTAATCTGTTATGTGAACCAAAGTCATGTCTGCTTGTTATGATCAGGACCAGTTAACCGTAGATAGTTTTACCTGTAAAACTCGCCCGTCTCTTATTAAACATCATATTTCTTTCTCTCTTTCAGTTGCTGGACATCAATTGGACGGGACTCACCAACATGCTGGACATTCCTGGTGTCAAGTAAGTGTGTGTGTGTGTGTGTGTGTGTGTGTGTGTGTGTGTGTGTGTGTGTAACGGAGACATGATGTCCTAACTGTCCCTGTTGTGTCTCCATGTGGACAGTGTACGTCCTGTGTTTGGATCACAGTGTACTTCAGCCTCATGTTAGACCGGATGAAAACATCAATATGTTGTAACTGAGCTCTATGCAAACGTTGGTCACATTATGAGTTCATTCAAATGATGCACAGAGAGACTTCATAGTGTTATCAGCATGAAATATGTTTTATACTTTCTGTCTCATTTGCAGAAGTGAAGTTTTTTTTTTTTTCTTTTTACAGTTTTCCACATTGATCTGCAGAATTTAGGGGAATTTATTTTTTACTTGTAATGTGATCGAAAACATTAATTTAAAATTTAAAAAAGCAGAGGTGTAGTCGGCATTCTGCGTACGTTCATTTGATATAATAATCAATCATCGTAGGAAAACAGAGAATTCATTCATTTATTATTAATTCTTTACTTTCTTCTTAAACCAGAAGTATTTTTGTTTTGTTGTCATTAGTTCTTTATTAGTTTATCTTTTAAAGAACACAGATGAACAAAAGTGATACATTTTTTCAGGTCAAAGTGTTTTTTTGCCACAAACACTCAACAAGTCTTCATCTCTCTTTGTGAAGCTCTTCGATGTCACAAAAGTAAATACTTTTAAAACTGAAATAGATTTTCGACTTTAAAAACGGCCACAGACAGACGATTACAGGCTGGAGCCACATTCTCTCACCTGGAGCGAGAGCTCGTCAACACTTGTTTTTTTGAGGATTTTTTCCCCAAAAAATTGTGGAAAATCCAGACATTAACTTTGTTACTAGTCCGCCGTGTCCACTGGAATGTATTTGCATAATGATGCAGTAATAGATAGAAATATACACGCTGATATTTCACTTAAAATCTTAAACCTGGTATTCTTTGAGTTACTGTTGTACTTCAGCAGGTAAAAGAGGAACGCTGTCTTTTTAGAGCACTCAGAGCTCTTTGGAGCGATCAGCAGAAGAAGAAGAAGGACCTTCATGTTGGGTTTAATGACAGAATGAAGGCGGTGCTTTATTTTGTGGAGAGAGACGTTCCCGGTGGACGAGCAGCCGGTCCATCAGGCTCTGCTGCTGAAATCATTACTTTAACCACCGGATCACAGGACGGATTACGGCCTCCATTTGTCCCCATTAAGTGTCGGTATTTATAGTAACGTGATGAAAAGGAGAGCCGCTGCAGACGGAGATGTGACGTGATGAAAGAAACATGTTTTACACAGAACTTTTAGTTTTGCATCAAGAAGACGACACGGCAGCAACAATACAAAAAAATACACTCTGACAGTGTTAAAGCTAAATCACTGAACATCCTAATATCTTGAGATATCACCACTCCCACCACCGTTATATGATGAACTAGCATCGCCCTTTTTTATTCTCTATTTGGGCTCCTTTTTATTTGTTTTACATTGTTTTTTTCACCATGAGCAACAAACGGAGGATGCCTGCTTCATACTTTTGTATGAATGAGCTTGTCAATAACCAATCTGAGTCGTAACGTTAGAGCAATGAGGCGTCTGGGGATAAAAAGGCCGATCTGCTCTCACAAATGGGCGTTTATGTCTTTGTTTTGATCGTGTCTGTCCGAAATATAAAGTTTAAGATCGACAGACACGAACAAAACAAGCTTCTCCTACATTCGCTATAGTGACGTCACCGGGACTTTTCTGAAAAGACGTCTGAAAAAAGACGCTGATGATATTTACCAGGTTCACGGCGTGTTAACAGTTGCTAATTAGCGCCTTGAACAAACTACAGCTGAGGATCAAGATATTTGGTCAAATCCCAGACTACTAGAGACAATCACAAATGACCTGACGATGGTGTTAAATGGAAAGCGAAGGGATCGCCAAAAATGTTACGATTCATCCTGAGGGGAGCATGAATGTGTGCAGCAAATTCAATGGCTCTTGGTCCAAGATTTTTTCAATCAAAACTATACATTTGAATCTCACGACGGTGCTAGGAGGTCAGGATGTCGTCAAAGTCTTTAGGGTTCATTATCTGGGGACCACGAATGTCATGCCAATCCATCCAGTAGTGGTTGTAGATAGTTCAATCTGGACCAACGTTCAATAACCTGAAGCTGCATCACGTCTCTTTAAAGTCTGACTTTTTATTTTATTTTTTTGTTTTGTACTTTCGTCCGTTATCTTTAATCCTAAAGAGATTATCTAGGCAACGAGAACATCAAAGTGTGGAACACATTCTTTAGGCGGTGAGCCTCCCGTCCTGCAGAACACTTTGTTTCCACTCGGCTCACTCTGCTCCTCCGTACCGACCTGTTGCTGTTTGTTTTTGAGCAGAGAAATTCGTTGCGGTTTCCAAAAGTCTCCGCCCTGTGAAATGTAGCTCTCCTTGTTCGACGGGTTTGTGTGAAAACACCACTGTGTGTGTGTGTGTGTGTGTGTGTGTGTGTGTGTGTGTGTGTGTGT